CTACTCCTCCAAGGACAGCCCTTCGGTCTTTCAAACTTGAGCCCTTTTGTACCACTCACTCTGAGCTTCTTGTCAAAGACCGCTGAGCAATCATTGTCGTGACATTGTATCTATTGAGCCGGGCTCCGCTCGTGTGGCGTCAGAGTATCGGACGGAATGCCATGCTCGATGATGACAGCGACTGCCGTGTCCTCAAGTTCGATCTGACCTTCTAGAGCTCATAGGAATAACATGCAGAGGACCGCGCCGTACGCGGGCAGTTGTGTTTCTGGTGTATGGGCGGGCGATACACTAATGACTACGAAGTAGCTAAGGCTGTAAAGCATCACTAGTCCTAATAAGCTATAGAAGCGATATAGTTAAGTATATTCATGTGAAGTAGGTTGGTGTTCGGTCTGGGTGGCCAGTAGATATAAAACCAACACCCAAGGAAAGTTTTGCATTAAGATCTTCGTTCACCTGCATTGCATCAATGTGATTGTCAGGAACGCTTTTTTACATTGACATGTGCGGGCAGGCCAGGTTAATAGACCAGACTAAGTCGAACTCTGAATTACGAAGTGATACCGCAGTGACGTGGGTGGTCTGTACATCTTTCAATCTCTCAACGCGGTAAATTTGGGAATTTGGGTGAGACCTTTCCACCCAGGTTACTTACCTATGGGTACCCCGCCCCGATGCTTAATGGATCGAAGAAATACATGTGTACCAAAACATTTCATTTACGAAATCAGCGTCAGATTGGGCTACATTCTATGTAAAAATATATTCTCAACAATCCAAAAACGCTGCAAGATGCACGAAGAAGAGATCAGTGCATCATTGACTGCTCAAACAGCGTCCTAAGCTGATCTCGTTCACGCTCCAGCTCCTTCGCCAACCCAGGCGCAAGCATAAGCACACGGGCCTGCGGGATCGTGCCTTCGACAAGACTCTCAATATCCTCAGAGCCGAACCCAAGAGCTTTTAATCCCTTTGGCTGATCGCCAAGGTCTTCGAGGAACGCGGCCACGGCATCTCCCAGGATGGCGCCTGCGTCTTCGCGCTTCACGTTGGTGATGTCTACTCCGAAGGCCTCGGCGGCCGCGAGATGACGGTCGGGGTTCGAGGCTGCCGTGAATCTGAAGACGGCTGGGGCCGTCACTGCTACTGATACACCGTGCGGGATGATGGGTTGCGTTACTTCGTAGCCTGCGTGTCTGTACTCCCGGTTCTGGCCCGAGATGGGGTAGGACATGCCTGCGTGGCACCATCAGCCAACCGTTACACCCAGAAGCGAGTATTTAAGCACGATTTGGAAAAGATTCACTACGTACCGTGGCATAAATGCACACCAGCGTTACCAAAGCCTACGCCAGCAAGCGTGGCAGCCAAGAGCATCTCACTTTGTGCCTCAAAGTCGTCGGGGTCTTTGACAGCCCGCGGCAAGTATTTGACTGTCGCCCGAAGTGCATTGAGCGAGAAGATGTCGCTGATGGGATTGGCGCCCTGGTAGGCAGGACGCAAGATGGGATTAGTTGGGCGCGGGGTTCTCTCGTTGAACGGTATAGCGGTCCAGGACTCGAGGGAGTGGCAGAGAACATCAAGTCCGGAACTGGCCTTGACAGCCGCCGGCATAGTCTTCGTGTTGAGCGGATCGCAAATGCCGAGCGTGGGCTTAAGGTTGCGATGGGCGATGCCAGTTTTCGCTTTCTTGGCCACGAGGTCGAAGATTGCTGTCCCGGTGGTCTCGCTACCGGTGCCGGCAGTCGTAGGAATGGCGATGAGGGGTTTGAGCTTCTTGTCAATTGGCCGTCCGTTACCAAGAGGAGCATTTACGAAGTCTAGGAAATCAGCATCCGGATACTCGGTATACAGGTTCATAAGTTTAGCGGTGTCCATGACAGAACCACCCCCGACTGCTAAAAAGGCATCGGCGCCGTACGGCTTTGCGAATGCGATGGCCTCTTTTATTCTATAATCATTGTGAGTGAGATTTATTTAGCTTGAGTGATAGAGAAGACTTACGAGCTGTCTTTCGGCTCAACTCGGACCTTGTCAAAGATTTCATACTCAATTCCCTCTTTGGCCAAAGCCTCTTCAACCTGTTTCAAGGCGGTGAGCTTCCGGACCGTGGTATCCGTGACGACGCAAACACGTTTGGCGCCCATATTGGCCAAGTCCATGCCGACTTCTTTGGTCACACCGGGACCGAACCTGATGGAAGAAGCGGCCATCTCGAAAGCGTACTCCTTCTGCTGCGACGCGTCCAAGGGCGACGCGAAACCGCGCCGCCCAGTCTGATGCGTGCGCTGAGCAAAAGCTTCAACTTGAGGGCGGGCATGGTGGTGATGATAGCCCGGGTTTGAATGGCAGGGACAGTTTGGCGGATGTGTGTATTGGACTGTCCTAAGCAGACTCACCGCTCGGCTCGCGGTCTAAAAGTCTCAAGTCAACAACAAATATCATTTGGTCAATTGGTCGGTACATGAGGCTCACATTTGGCGTGACTCGGATGGTAGCGGCCATATTTTACTAGCTTCCCCAGGGAGTAATGTAGCTGTCTCTCGGTTGACAGGTTTAGAGTCCTCAGGATCGAGCTCTATTGCCTCAAATTCGAGTAGTACTGAGACAGGATCAGCTTCGCTGTCCGGAGAATGAGCCGAGGAGCAGCTGGCTTGTGGGGTGAAATAATTGCCCTAGCTCTCCTTGGGGTTCAGTTCATGTGGGGTAGCTTCGTGCACATCATTTTTATCAACATTTTCTTCTTCTGAATTGAGGTATTCTCATGCTAGTTGACGATGATCGTATTTTATGTCTACTTAATAGCGACGCCATCGCCGTGATGGGGTTTGAACATGAAAAGTCCTCTCACGTTTGTTCACACCCTCAACTGACTAGCACCAGCTATTACGTGAAACCGGGCCACAGGTTCGGGAGAGCATTGGGGAATTTGCTTGAATCATTTAACCGAGCTCGTCTTCTTATTCACCCAGGTAGGTTCCGTCTCACTATGAATTTTTTATTGAGTTACCTATCTGTGTAGCATCATGAAGCCGAGAGCCCCGGAAGCAAAAAAGCTTTAGACGACTCCAGCAGCGCGACTATTGGGGTCGTCGGCGTGACTCAACTTTACGGCAGTTCTCCGCCCCTCTTTGTCTCCAACAGGAAATATTCCGTCATAGAAGATAGCGAGCCGATTGGTTATATACAAGAGTATATAAGAAAATGACCAGACCAGATAAAAAGAAGATGATGTATAGGAATAAAGTCGTCCGGATCTCTCAATCCACTTCTTACTCCAATCAATTGAGTTTTGATTTGTCAAGTGATTACTGAAAATATGTCGACCTCGACCTCGACCGCCGCTCCATCTGCCGCCGGTGACAAGCTACCCCGAATGCGGCTCCGGGAGTTGTTGCCCACCGTGCATCTCGGCGATTGGAAGCCCGGGCCGCTCAATTCCATCACAGATGTGGCCGGGGTCAAGGTTCATACGCAAGAGATATTCAGCGACGATGGTAACGTCAATACGGGCGTGACCAGTATACTACCTCGCGATGAGTGGTTCCACAAGGCCTGTTATGCGGGGCTCTTCAGTTTCAACGGATCCGGCGAGATGACCGGCAGCCATTGGATCAATGAGACCGGGTTGCTACATTCGCCAATCATCAGGTCAGTTGGAGAACACTTGAGCCTTATGCCCAAGACACACTAACACTGTTGTAGTACGTATACGGCATGTAATACCTGCGATCTGATGTCTAACATGTTCATTTTCGCCTTTCAGTCACAAATTCTTTCAGTGTTGGTGCTGCATATCAAGGTATTTACGAATATGCTATCAAGACATTGGGAGTTAAGAAAGGCCAGGTTGACTGGTTCCTCTTGCCCGTCGTCGCTGAGACATTTGATGGGTATCTCAATGATCTTTCGTACGTATTTGTGCCCAGGGTCTAATCTTCCTTTTCCATTCCACGCCCCTTATGTTCAAGACTGACGCACAGCAGGCAATTCGTTGTCACCCCAGCGCACATTGTAAAGGGACTCGAGAATGTTTCTAGTAATCGTGTGCGGGAAGGCTGCGTAGGTGGCGGTACGGGAATGATCTGCCGTAAGTCATACAAAAAGGTCCCTTGTTACGGCTAAAGAAGTGCACCCCCCCTCGCTATAATACAAGTTCACGTCGGCGTCGACTGATCATACTTGCAGATTACTTCAAGGGTGGTACCGGTAGTAGTAGTCGGGTCGTGCCCGGCTTTGATAATAAGTATCAGTCCAAGATCTACACCGTCGGAGTTCTAGTACAGGCCAACTATGGCAAAAAGCCTCACTTCCGCATCTCGGGAGTACCCATCGGCCGGATACTAGCTGAAGAGGATGCCAAGGTCGCAGAGCAAGATGCTGAAAAGAAAGCGACACAGGAGAGTCTGATCCGAGAAAAGGAACGAAAGGATGGAAGTATCATTGTCATCATCGCGACAGACGCACCCTTGCACCCCACGCAGCTGCAGAGGCTCGCTAAACGAGCGACCGTCGGACTCGCTCGTGTAGGCGGCCAGGGTCACAATCCGAGCGGTGACATCTTCCTCGCCTTTTCGACAGCTAATCACGTACCGGTACAAACGATTTCCATGGAGCGACGAGCAGTCGACCCCTTTAAGCCGGAAACCAACGTCATGGAGCTCGTTGATGATTCCTCGATTAACGGTCTCTTCGAAGCAACAGCCGATGCGACCGAAGAGGCTATATACAATGCCGTGTGTATGGCTGAGACCATGGTGGGGAACCAAGGGCACAAGATTGAAGCACTACCACTTGAACGGGTTCGAGATATCATGCAAAAATACCTGTAGCATCAAATCATGTATTCTATTCATGGTTATCTGCTAATTGGTGTCTCCAAGGGCTGTTCCTGGATGTCCACTAGGCAGCTTCACTTAAGGCCTAGTATCAATCAGTCCTACCATGGCTATTATTACCCAACCTCATGCAAGAAAGTTTTGAAAAAAAAAAAGGACTAGTCGGTATGAGGCTTGAACTCATGATCTTCGCATTATTAGAGCCTGTGGAAGTTAGCAGTCTTGTTATCAAACTTAACTTTTGGGAGTGACATACGACGCTCTAACCGTTTGAGCTAACCGACCTGTTGGATTGCTGTTCACTGTATTCGACCTTATGACTCAGAGATCCAAGGTAGCGTGACTTGATATCTCCTGCCGGCTTAGTTATCGTCAAAACAGTTGAGGCATCAACAATGCTTTTATCTCGAGCATACCTATATATGGAATCGGCTTGTTTTGGGACAATGAAGCAAAATCAGAGAGCACAAATCATACGATCTGCATGATGTTATGATCACAGCTGTAATTTCTCAGTAAAAAAATCATAAATCTAGGTTTATATCCGCGTAATGTCAGGGAAGTCGAACAAGATATGCTTCAGACAGTAGCATGGACGCATCAAAGCGATCCTCCCTTCGAGGCGAACCAAGCTTTGGCATGTTCTACCGATGTGGCAGAAGTCATCAACACGCGGCCAAATTCATCAATATTGTCGGGTGTAGCTTTCAGGAGCTTGTCTAGAATGTCTGAAGGACGGATGAGGAGATGGTCGTGCTCGCACCACGCGATGGCAAAGTCGACGGCGTCACGGGCATGCCACAAATGTGCAGAGAGCGTTACATGCTGGCAGAGCAGCAATCGCCAATCGCATGGTGTGTCTCTAATGTTAATGTCTTGTAACTCTGAGGCTTCCGGGACCGAAGTTTCCAGGGCCGTAGTGATAGCCGCGAGAGTATCAGCGTCAGATAACGACGTCATGGCCGCCGACGATGGGGGGAACGGTGTTTGTGGCGGCCTGAGTGCCTCGGGGACCTCTCCGCGAAATAAACGCACAACCGATACGAAGAACAATGCCGCTAACCCCGTACGTCGTGCCGACTCCTGGTATACCCAATTGTCGAAGAAAGCATTGGCACGTGCGGGTGGATAAAGAGGTACCTCTTCTTGAGGCATCCCCGGTAGCGTATCCATTCCACTATCAAAATCGTGATGGCGCTGTAGCAGTATCATAGCGGACTCATCGAGTATAGATTCTGTCTCTTGCGCTAGAGATCGTAGGTGGGAGGACGGGCTGAAGTACAGCATCGTCTGATACAATAATAGAGCGTGAGTCCGTGCCACCATCGCTCTACCGCACGACCTTGGTATAGGCGCGGAGAGGAGTTTATGGTAGCGCTGCACCATCATGCGCTGAATGAGCGTTGTGTTTGTGGTCGTTTGAGAAACATGGAGAGCGCACATTGAGAGAGCGTCTGTCAAGGAAATGTATCAGCTGGCTCCCTAATTTCGGTGTATATAGCAGCATCGATAAAAATACAGAGAGAAAAGTAACAGACAATTGCTTTAAAAGTTTTAATACACAGAAGGGATGAGTAATGTGAGGAAAAGGTTTTCACTGTGGTTTTCGGGGGTGTGTCCAAAAGAGAGGTGCGAGCTCACCTTCTAAGAAATCAGGCATAGAGTCCCTGAAGAGGCGAGGGTGCAGACACATTGTACCACCGTCTCGAACCATAGTCGTAGGTACACGCCGAAAAGCATCAATAGCAAAAGACAAGCGTTTTTCTGCTAGCGCTGACGCCGCACTCAATAGCCGCATCCTGATCATACTGGCGGCCGCGGCATCAGCTCCAGCCTTTGGACTCCGTACTATCAATTCCATTTGATCGGCCCCCAGAACGATGGAAGGCGATATACTCCTCGGAATAGTCTCTTCCTCTGCCATCATGAAACTAGGCAACGAGAGTGTCGAGTCGTTGAAGGAGAAGCTAGGGAAGGTTGGACAGGCTGGATGTAATTGTGCCGGGTTCAGCAAGTCCATGCTGTTGAAGTGTATGGCGGTATCCCAGAAGGAACTGTCATTTGACAAAACTGGGTCTAGTCCCGCCGCTGCAGTAGGTCCATTCGACTGAGTGAGCGCAGGGGGCGTGTCTGCCGCCACGTTGGAGGGTGATGGATCTAATGTCTTTTTTGTAACGGAGGGATATGTGCATTTAAGCCTCCTCTGAGAGCAGCGCAAGCATGATGGCTGACCGAGGGAACAGCGGCGTTTGGATTTGATGCAGGCAGTGCACTATTTTAAAATTCTCGAATTACTATGTCATATCGACGGAGAGAATATAACAAGTAAGAGATGCAAGACCGGCTTGTAAACGACGGTAGAGGGGAGAGAAAGCGGACGTAACACTTACGGATTTTTGCCTCGGCGGAGGGTTGCTTCGCTCCCTAGCGGATAATGATTGGGACATTTTGCTGTTCCGATCCCACCGACCGGTATTTCGATAGAAGCATCAAACCAGTGCGAAAGAAAGAGAAGAAATTACCCATGTGTCTCTCAGTGGGAGCTCTTCCAAACCGATGGGGCGAGATCATGTCGGGAGACACAAATGGGGACAGCAACATGGCGGATTTCCACCAGGCGGAGCACCGCAGTTTGTAACTGCTAGTTGGTTACTCGGTCTCCATCTTGGCACGCTGGCCGCCCCGTATTAACAATGGCCAGCGTGCGGCGGACCACCGCCATCCCGGCGGATTAGCTGACTGATTTGTCAGAACGGCACAATTCTATAACTAGAATTTAGGTCATGTTGAGGGTTATGTAACACCTCTAGCAAAACCACTACCGTCCATGAAGAATTGCGACACAAAATTGAAGTATGGGATGGCCGCGGCTCCCCCGAGGGATCTGCGGAGGATTTGCTCACGAAGCATTTTGCCTGTCGGGCGGAAATCCATTTTCCAATACAGTCCTTTAGTCATTTGGTGTGCTCGATCTCCAGCAAGAGGTAAACATGTATAGAGCGAATGTAATGTATAAAAGACGAGCAACTACTTCCTCTATGATGGCAAAGGGAGTCTATCGCATCGCTCATCTACTCTGCAGCTTCAGAGAAACTGAATTTCATCTTCAAAGCATACAACCCCTTTCTGTTCCGAAACATTAAACCCGTGCCACACAGCAACGACCCTCTCCACATCATGCCGTCTACGATCTTCGTTGTCGCAGCCACTGGCAGCCTCGGAAAGCCTGTCGCTCTTGACCTCGTCAAGAATGGATGGAATGTGAAGACCACGACCCGAAATACGTATTCTCCCGCCGCCAAGGAGCTCGCCGCCGCAGGTGTCGAGGTTATCACTGGCGACTGAGACAACCAGGACTTGCTTAAAGAGGCTATTGCTGGGTGCCATGGTGTATTTATCAATATGATGCCCTCCTTCACGGATCTCGAAGCCGACGCGCGACAGGGCAAGGAAATCGTCGCTATCGCCAAGGCAGCTGGTGTTAAGCATGTCATCCACTCGAGCGCAGTTGCTGTCAATAAGCCAGAGTTTATAGCCCGTATCGACCCTAACAGCTTGCTCGTCAAATTGTGGCGGAACAAACAAGTCGTTGAAGAGGCAACGTGCACCGCAGATTTCGAGACGTACACAATCCTCCGGCCCGCGAGCTTCAACTCTAACTGGCTTGTGCCTAAAGTCGCAATGTGGGGAGACTTCCCTCAGACAGGCGTCTTTACTACAGCTCTGCGACCCGACACTATAGTCGCTAACTTGGATGAGAAGGATTTCGCCGCCTTCGTTACCGAGATCTTTAATAATCCTAGCAAATTCAACGGCATGGACACCGAATTCGCGTCGGAGCCACTAAAATTCGAAGAGCTGCTGGAAGTTCTGTCGGAGGCTGCGGGGCGGAAGATCAAGCCCAATTATCTCTCTGAGGAGGAGATCCAGGAGGGTATGAAGCAGAATCCCTTCCTGGCTGGGCAATATTTGGGCCGAGACATGTTCAAGCTCATAGACATGGACAAGATCAGGAATTTCGGGATACCGCTTCATACGCTGAAGGAGTACTTGGCGCGGGAGAAGGAGGCTGTTGCGCTACCTACCACAACAAGCCCGAATAGAGACATGGCATTGGTATCGTTGTGGCAATGTGCCGTTATCTTCGAGGCTCTACTGGCTCACTCGCATGTCAGTGTTTCGGGTAGAGAGTTATCTTTTCATGTAGACTTCCACATTGATGAACATTGAATTATAGAAGAAAAGGTTCAAACACCAAATCATAGTATACAAGTCACAAGTCACAAGTTCAAGCACTCAGAACAGAAGTAGACACAAAGAAATATATTCCTGAAGAGGCTGCTAGCCCACTTTACAGCAACCGGCGGTAGCTAGTCGTCGGTCCACTGTAAGCCAACTGGGGGTATCATGGTGCCCTCGAAAGAGCGGGTGCTGCTGATAACATGTCGGTTGTTTGCTCCGGGCCCTAAGCCATCCCAATTCCCGGATCCGCCGTCCCCGATGTTGTATTGCTCATAACGTGTCAATGTGTGCTCCGAAACCTAAGCCATCCCAATTCAAATGATTTCGATTTCGTCCCCCGATGATTGTTGCTCATAACGTGTTGGTTGTGTTGGCTCCGAAACCTGAGCGCAGCCGCGTTTTTTTCGATGGTTTCGTCATCCCCGAGTTGAGATTGCTCATAACGGAATGCTAATAACTGTTGTTGTTGTCGTTGCTCAAAAGGAGCCGGATTAACCGACTCCTTCAACAACCACCAACATTCGCTTTGTGCTGCTACGTCGAGACTCCGCGAATGTCTTTCGTCCCCGCGACATTATAGCCGCAGGTCACGAAGGTGGACTGCTACTTCTGGCAGTGGCGAAGGAGCCAAATGCCTAAGCACGTCTCAATTAGTTCCAGACAACCAAGACGACACTACTAAAAGAGGGAAGAGGAATTTTCTTACCTTCCCCTGAGCAATGGATCCGACCGAGACAGAGGCCACGGCGGCCATGACAACAGCAACGATAGAGTTAAAGGCCTCCATTTTACTGGTTCTGTTTGGGGTAGTTTAGAAAAACTAAAAAGTTGGAAAGTGTTGGAAAAAGTTGTTGATCGATAAAAGGCTAAGCCTCTGTGGTTTCCAAAATCTCACCAGGATGCGGGATTTTGGCCACTCTTTATAGACGAGCGAGTCTCCATTGCCATCCTCGCGTTTACTACTGTTGCCTACCTGTTCTCTCCTATCAGTTGCATGCCGCCGTCAACTTCGCTGAGTGTTCCATGCCAAGTTGGTGCCGGAG